AATTAAAAATTACACGTTTCGTTTAAAGCTAAATTCTTCTAATTACACTGACACTGATATGATTACAAGAAAATTACTGTAGCTGACTTGGAACTTTGTATCACGAGCCATATGAATCTACAGTTGCTTCAGGAAGAGTATGGTTACTCTGCGTACGGTTCTGCCAGTGAAGGCAATGGTTTCGATACCTCGTGACATGTTTAACGTGACAAACGCAGGTGAAGTCCTTAGTCTACAAGCAAAACATTTGCCGCTACCTCGGATGGTCAGGCATGTGAATAACATGTGTACAGGAGGATAGCTGATTAAGACTTGCTCAATGTGGAGTCTAAGATTTCACTAATGTTATTCATGTCTCCAGATATTCTGTTTTGTCCAATTCTAGTGGCGACAACACCCCGTACTTTGAATTACCATGTGAGCAAAGAGGGGGTGAGCTCAATGCTTTATCAGCATTCCTGGCATCTTAATGATGCAAAACGTCTGAAGACTTCATCATGAACCCAACCGAACTATTCCCAGAATAAGGTAAAGATAGCAGAATCATAAATTAGAAGCTTATCACTTGGACAAACCGATTATGATACGTCATCTGCAACAACTTCACTGATTTCTGCAATTATGATGGAATAGAAACAATATGAAGCTTGATCTATTCACCTTTAGCCTTGAAAATGTAATATTTTCTTTGACTTTTCCATCTTTGTAATTACCCCAATATGATCAATTCTTAGATTCAACACCCGCTCACGTTTATATCGCGCAATTTGTCGCCAAAAGCGTCCATCCCATTCCCTTGTCCAACCAGAGCCGACGTCTTCCTTGCTTCCCTTTGATATCAACCGCCACTGTTCACGGGGGCGGTATAACGCCACTGATCATCCGCCAATCGTGCGATATAACCTGCTTACTGTAACTTAGTTTCTTGTGGAACGAATGCCCTGTCCTTAATTTCTTAGCGTCTTCGTATTTCTTCATTTTGCGGCTTGTCGCTGATATGAATTCCTAGCACACATCTTTCTATATCCCGACGTTGTACTCTTAGCAGTTCTTAATTATTGCTTTTCGCAAATGCCATAGAGAACTGCTGCCACACCGTGCTTCTTACAATACGGTTATTCCCGCAAATGATAATTTTGTTTTCAAGACTGTAAACGTTTCTTATGTGTGCAGCTACATGGGGCGCGACGCCTTCGATCTCTGGATCAAAGGAATGATGAGACACGATTAGCTGTCCAAACAAACATGGCCAATGACTTCTTCTGTTTTCTAATCATTGGTGGTTACTGTTGCTGGTTAATCAGTGAATTAGTTTCTCGTAATTTGGCCGTCGTCTCGTTAATTTGACGTCCAACTTGTTTGCTGTTTAATTCTATCTCAAATAGCACGGCTTCAACTACTCTTGCCTTCGTCCTCAGAAGCAAGATGCCGTCAGCAGGCGGAAGGCGAGTGATCCATCTAGCGTTGATTGAAAATTGATAATATAACAATGACATAGCCAGATATAAAGGAAAACAGCATCATTACTATTGTTTCTATTTTTAGCATAGCTGACTACTCAGATAGTAGGTAGGAAAACATAGCAGGTAGGAAGCATTGCATTAATTCTCAACCGGATTTCTCTGAAACGGGGTAGACGTCATCTTCCTTTC